AAAGCCTGGACGGGGGGCAGGAGGGGCAAGGGAAGCCCAGACAGAAAGGAGGGTGTGTGACAGGGCGCTTGCCCTGCACTGGCCCTTTAAGGGTAAAACCCTGGCCCGGAGCATGGGATGAAGGGAAAGACCCAACTGAGGCAGTTTGAGCTCACGAGGGCCCAGCTGGGGGCTGTATGAAGGAGAGCAGTCGTCCCTCGGGGGAGAACAGTAAGGATCTGGCAGCTGGGGAAAGCAGGAGGCTCCCAGGAGTTAGAGCAGTGCTGGGGAAGCAAGGCAGGATTACGGGGGCTCTAGCCAAGCAAGCTCCCAGGTTGTAGGGCCCGAAGCCAGGCTCATGGCTTCGAGGGCTGTAGTGAGGCAGCCATGATAAGCAGGGGGAGCAGGTCCACACCATTTCACTGATGATGAGCGGCCCTTACAGACTGCAGTTTGCCGCTGAGGCAGGGACTAGATGAAGACTGGCAGTGGGTCACTGAGGCTGGGTGGTGAAGCTGTCCCTCACACACGTGTTTCTTATATCCCGTGGGTGTTCAATCATCCAGCAATTTCTCTCTCTCAATGTCTTTCTCTCACCCACTTCTGGGGATACCTCCTAAGTGCATGACCAGCCACCTCACTTTCTCTGTCTCTTTCTGTTAGTCATGAATTCCCCTGTGTCCGGGCCGTTTATAACCAGAGTGCTGAGCAGTACCCAGGGCAGCTGTTGGTATCCCTGGTGCAGCGTCCAAGTTCCTGTCGGGTAAGTGGCTTTGCTGCAACGTGTTGTGTAGCCTTCTCCTTGAGTGGAAGGGAGCAGCCTGACCTGAGTAGACACATGGGAGAGAGCAGCTCTTCAGGCTTCCTCACATTTCGAACCATTCCTTGATCATCACCTGTAATCTGCTTCTTTGTTCTGCCCTCCAACGCGCTCCAGCCCCAGTAGATTTGACCCAAATTGTACTTTTCTGAAAATGCGCTGAGTACCATAGAAATGGTCTGTTCTTTCTGGAGACAGAGCCTTTGTGAGCGTCTCCTGTTCAGGGCAGGATACTAGAAGATGTCTCACATGTATGAGCCTGAGTATGAGATGGTGTTTATTCTACGGGACA